GACCTGAGATCAAATCAATTAATTGCCTTTGCATTCTCCGATAAAAGCAGTGCAGAGAGTACTTACGTTGGAATTGGGAATGAACCAAAGCTGCAGCGACAAAACCCCGCTGAAATGAAACGTTCCCTGGCGCGAGGCAGCCCGTGCCCGGGCAGCGGGGGTGATTGTGGGTGGCAGGTGCCGGTCACGGTGTTTAACATGCGGCTCAGGATGCTCCGATCTGGTGGGGGTGAGCGGGATCGAAGAATCACGCGGAGCATGGGATGAAAAACAGCCCGGCAGGAGGGGAGGGAATGCCGGTACAAAACCAGCGAGTGCAGAATGTGTTATGTGAGTTCATCTCTTCCAAATTAAATGCAGCGTTACCTAGAAGGCTGGGCTGGCTGTGGTGAGCCTGGACCCTGCGGGCAGGGGCACCCTGCGGGCAGGGGCACCCCGCCAGCACTGCGGGGCTGATGGTCCCCTCGTCACGTACGGTGCTTACATGTGGGAAATGGAAGATTTACCAACTGGAGAGGGCTTCCCTGGGGATGCTCTGGGTGCCCCCAGGCCACCGCTTGCCAGAGGGTGACCGCTGGGTTAAAGCAGAACCGTTAAACCCAGAGCTTGAACCGCAGATGGCTGAGACCAGTGCAGTGCCCGGGCAGGTGCTGCCCCTCTGCCAGCCAAGGCTTCACGGCTGTGAAGGACATGGAGAAAGGTGGCATCGAAGTGATGGCAGAGCTGGGGTCATCACGCTGACCCTGCCGCGGCAGCATGCCCCCAGCACCCCCGAGGGCAGGGAGAGGCTTCCTGCGGGCTCACGCTGCGGGAGCACGAAGCAGGGATCCGGACGGTTCCCTGGCCCCAAGGTTTGGGTGTCTGATACTGGGGTCCTTTCTCACACCCCACCGCAGTGCAGAAGGACGTGGGGGTGAGGACCAGCAGCTCTGCACGACAGTGCCCACCCCCATGGGTCTGTCATGACCCACCGCCGAGATCGGAGGGAAGGCACGGCTGATCCCCGGCGCTCCCGCTTCCCGCCTGCTCGGTCAGGCTCACCGGGCTCTTACCCCGGTGGATGTTACTGTTCTCTTGGCTGACTTGTTGGCAGTCAGCGTACCAGCTCTCAGGAGCCGGGCCTCCCCTCCCTGGGCACCATGGCAGCGTTTCCCACTGCCAGTGAGTCTGTGCCCAGCCCTGCCCCCGGAGCTCCCTGGGGCCAGCGGAGGGACGGCAGCGGGTTGTGCAGCCGCGGATGCTCCTCCGGGGAAGAGAGGAGGGAAGTGAAACGGGAGGGCTGAGTAACGTGGCAAAGGATTATCCCACAGGCTTTGCGGCTGGCACTGGTCCAGCTGCTTCGAAGCGCTGTTTCGGTGGCACCGTTTGTGCATCGGGGTACCCCAGCGAGCGCTCGTGTCGGG